TCCGTGAGGAGCTTCTCCATCTCTATTGTGCGCATATTCTCACCCTGAAGTGTATGCAACTGTGTTTTTGTCCTTATCCTGGTTCCCTGCCAGGTAACTGGTTTTCCATCCAGATGGAATGTCATTGTTAGGGCGCTGAAATCCCATAGGATTGGCCCTAGAGTGATCAGCCACTTGACTCCCAGGATGATGTCGAATTCATCTGAGGATAGCACGAATAAATCAGCAAGGAAAGATTCTGATCCGACCTGAATTTTGGTGTTCCTGCAGATTCCGGGGCTGTGGACCCTTTCCCCGTTTGCTATGGCTACCTGTAGTTGCGGCCTGATTTCCATCGGTAATTCTAACTGGCGGGCAGCTTGCTCACTGACAAAGTTGTGCGTGCTTCCTGAGTCAACGAGGATGCTACTGGTTTCCCTGCTACCTACACCCTCAGTTGCATGGTCTGTGAGGTTTTTATCCCCGTGATCGCGTGAAGGGAGATCTCGGGTTCTGATGCTGCGGGTTCCTCCTCGTCCTCTTCCTATTCATCTACCAGAAGACAAAATAGCCTCTTGCATCTGTGCCCGGCGGAATACAGATCGTCGCAGTTAAAGCACTGCCCCCTTGCGCAACACTCTGCCATCTCAGCTCGGGACAACCGTCTAATGGGTGGTGCTGTCATGCTGCTCCCCATGCTTGATGTCATCCTGGAAATGTTACCGGTAGGTGGCCTCTGTTCCCAGCGGGCTGCTGAAGAAGGGGACACTCCGTCGCCGGCCGACCCACACTGAAGGTCCCGCGGGTGAGCTGCAATTTGCGCTCGAAGGCGCATGCTAGGTTCGTGGCTGTGACCAGGTTGGGAGGGTGTTGCATCTCCACGTCCACCCTTAGGGGTTTTGCTAACCCCGCGGTGAACATATCTATTTGCTGATCTGGTCGTACCGAGGCTGCCCTGGCGAGAAGGGTTAGAAACTGTCGCTGGTAGTCAGCCACAGTTCTAGTTTGCTTGAGGTTAATTAATTCGCCCAGCGGGTTGCTTGTCAACGGGGGTCCAAACCTGAGGAGACAGTAGGATTTAAACTGTTCCCAATTGAGCCCGGGTTCTTCCTGCTCCAGACGGTAGAACCAGAGTTGTGCTTCGTCCACTAGGTGGAAGGCAGACAGACTGACCTTGTCCCTGTCATCAGTGCGTTGGTTACGAAAGAACTGTTCGCAGCGATATAACCATCTTAATGGATCTCCGGTGCCGTTGTAAGACGGAAATTCTAGCCGACTATACTTGGGAATAACTGCGGCTGTTGGGGCGGCAGTCTGATGTTCGTCGGACGTCTCTGCCCAGTCTGGCCGGCGACTGTTGGTGGTGGCAGCGGCTCCCTCAGAGTTCCTTTCCTTGTTAGAGAAAAACGATTCTAGCAAGCGACGCAGCTCCCGGACATCGTCTTTGACCTCACGAACCTCCACGCTGGTTTCCATGAGCCTATGCTCCAGTTCGTGGACCCTGGATGAAAGCTGCTCCAGATCTCCCATGACGGTAGGCTCTGATACCAAGATGTTTGGGCTCGGGCGTAGGATCTTGTCACGGGTTGGTCCACGGGAGGAACCTCTAACTTCCTCTTGCCCCTTCCTTTACGTGCAGACCCTATTGTGGCGGTCTGGTGGGTGATTTGTTCAAGAGATCACCCTAACTCTCCTCACTCTTTTCTTGACTGAAAACTCAATGCCTTTATTCCCAATTCGTAGCTCCTTAAATAGGAGATTACAAGAGATGAGGGTCCTCCCTGTAGGAGGATTCCTTATTTAATTCGGCTATTAAGGATAAGGCTAGGATAAATCCAACTTTAAATCAACTCCTACTCCTACTTCTAATCGATAAACACTTCTACTAAGAACAGAACTTAACTCCTACTTCTAATAGATAAGGTAAGAACGGATGGGATAAGATAAGCTGATGGAGCTGGCAAGATAAGTTGTCATGTGGGCCCCTCCTTATCACTGCTGCCGGCGGCGGTATGTCTTCCCCACGAATGCATCCATAACAGAATCTCCAATGCCATTTTCTTAAAGGAGAGGAATTTCTCAAACACACTCTTCCATACCTAACTAGGGGGGCAATTCAGGCCGGGTTAAGGTCAACCCTAGCCCAACCTGAGGTTCTGAACCCCCAACCCTAACCCAACCTAAAATCCCTCAAAACTAACCCAACCCAAACTTTCTATCATCCTGTTAAAATCTCATAAAATCTCTCAAATTCTCTTAGTCTTTGACTAAGAGACCTAAACTTTATGACCATATTTTTTATTGGTGTTTCCTTATTTGATGTTTTTATTGGTTCTTTACGTAAATGTGAAAAAGATGTTTCAAATGATTAAAGTCTATTATGATCTATGATAGGGTTAGAGGCTTAAAAATTAAGACAAATGCATTATTATAGTATGCAGAAGTACATATGTACACAAGTAATAGTAGAATTGGGTTCAGGTTGGGTCAGGTTGCCCAAGGGGTGAACCTTAGCCAAACCTAAAGTGAAGTCAGGTTGGCATCGCATAAAATCAGACAGCTACCTGTCACAATTGACTTCCAGAACTTTTTTTTTTTTATGAACAAGGATAGTTTTATTACTTCACAAGAAAATGGAGATCTCATACAGCAGCCCGTGGAGAGGCGCAAGCTGCTCTCTCAACTGATTACAAAGAAACTTAAAAGGAAAAGGAAAAGATGAACATTACAGCTGAGCCCAAAACAAAACTTCCCTATTTGTCCCTTTCTTAGCTAAGCCATCAGCCAAAGCATTTGCTGATCTCCCCACCCATTGTGTACTAACAGACATATTCCTTGTCAGCCACTTAAATTTTTTTTACTTCATTTCTGTAGCACCATATAGTTTCCTCAGGGTTCTGCAACCACCCCACCACCACCTTGGAGTCCCCTTCTATAACAAGCTGTCCTACTCCTAACTGATTTGTGAGTTGCACTCCTTGTATGGCTGCTAATAGTTCTGCTCTGACTGAATCCCCAAATCCCAAAGGACCTGAATAAAGCAGTATAATCCTCTTCTTTACTTTTGAACATTTTTGGCCAAATAGTCAAGTGGTCTTTCTTACAGTCCCAGGTTCCAAAAGAAAGTCTCTCATCTTCTAAATCCTCTTTGCTATCAACATTGGAATTTTGAATACAGGCAAATAATAGATGGGGAGAATGGCAAAGGTCGAGTTGATCAATATAATCATGTAGAACAACCATAATATATCATGTATATCCATTATCTGGTCACTTTTATTTCTTTTTTTGTTGAAGATCATTAAAAGTGTATTTGGCAAAAGGCTAAGGATCTTAGTACCATCTCTTCAGATTAATTCTAAAGGATAAAAGCTAGAGAAGAATGTTACTATTCAACTGAAATAGGGTAAAAACCAGTTAGAGTTATATTTCATGGATCACTCGATTACTTTACTTAGAGTTGTTCTCATGTCCCTGTTTTCCACTAAGTTAATCATCATCATTATCATCTAAGCCTTTTCCACTAAGCTACTATGAATTGCACAAATTTCTTATGTGCTCTCATATTATTGAAGCTATCTCTTGTTTCCTTCCATATTTTCTCCAATTAAAGAAGCAATAAACTGAGGTATGCGTCTTCATCTTTAGGTGCACTTCAGATGTTATAGAGAATTAATTGATAGATGGCTCTTCCTCTACAATGAATTGTATTGATTTATTAATATAAATCCAGCACAGACTAGTATGTTACCAATTGTGCACCTGTTCTATAATACTCTGCTAATGCAAATAAAATCAAATAAAGGTCGATTTAGAAACAACAGAACCTGATGGACATATATCAGCTAAGCCCCACTGGCTGACAAATTCATGGAATGCACTTCACCAAGAGCATTATTAACATCTGTGCTTGTTGGTCCTTTGACAACATATGAGGTAAGATTTTCTTCAAAACAAATCATCTGTGTAATCCATCTCATGGAAACAAAGGAGAAGCAAATCAAAATCAAGTTTCTTTGGTAAAAGTTTGTTGAGAGAAGATTGCGGAAATGAACTTAAAGGGGTGCATGGATGAGTCAATGCAGATATGGCAGATTGTTGCAGGAATGTCAAACAGAAGACAGCAAAATCCTAATTGGTTGACAACCTAACTGTTTGACAGGCCACTGCGGTCTAGATTTCAAAATATTGATCTAATCAAAATTGGTCCTAACAGGCACCATTGTTCTCAGTTACATGGCAATATTATTTAGGAGCAGAAGTCCTACTCTCAATGGTCCTTGACAGGTTAAAGAGCTGTAATTATAACCTTTTCAAGCAAAGCAGAAGTTACAATGCAACCTACAAGTTCCATTCAAATTTTGGCACCATGGTTTAAATGATAGCAGTAACAAAACAAAAAAGGAAGTAAGGCGCGAAAAACAAGCAACGACAACCAACAAATTACGTGCGTTATCATGGAATCCATGGTTTATCACAAAACAACGCATAGTAGGATTCTAAGAGAAGGATGTGAATTCGTAAAGGTTGGAACCTTGCAGAGTTGCAGGTTCGGTATCAGCACCGAAAAGTCTAATTCACGATTATGTGATTCCGGCAGTATAGTAACCGAGTATAAACATAACTAGAATGAACGCAGATGAGGCAATGAAATTCAATGACTCACAAATGAAGAGATGCACGAAGATATCGACTATGAGCAACAGATCCGTTGTTTGAGGCGACTACAATGATATCTGGATTAGGGTTCTGAGATGGAGCACATTTGGTGCTGAAAACTTTACGTGACAAAGGGGGCTCTCTCAAGCAAAATGCTGTTTCTGTAACCATTTCTCGTCCCAATCCCCATCAACTTGCTTCAGCCTTCAGCTTGACCTTGACGTTCTGCTTACACAGTAGAGTGTAGATTGTGTAGTCTGGTTGAGTTGCCACGTGTGAACGCCAGGTCTGTTGTTCTTTGGCTAATAGACGATAAATTCCATCTATAATTCCTGGGCTATCAATCACGCCCAACAGGTTTATTCATGAAGCTCACTAAAAATAAATGCTTTGCACATGGACCCGACGGCTTTCTGTTTCGGTCTCTCGAAGCCTAGCATAGAAACCCTAGATTCCCAAAACAAAGCCCTATTGCTTGATTGCTTGTGGAGGACGAAGGCAACCTAGAAAACAAAGAACGATTCGCATTTGATAAAACTTAAACGTGAAAGAAAAAGGAAAGAAACAGAAATAAATACTTCTCTCTGGTTTCTACAGATTTGAACTTCGGTTCGCACTTGCGGGAAGCTATAGGGTCAAGGTGCAAAAATCCAAGCTTATTCAAAATCTTGTAAGTTGTTTTTTACCGGAGTTAATTGTGCCTCTGTTTTATTAGTCTCTGCAGATCTTTTCTACAGCATTGTTGTTTTGTTCTCTGCTTTTTTTATTTTTTCTCTTATTTTTTCTTGTTTTTTTTTTTTTTTTGAAATGGTCGCGTTTAAAAGAATTCGGAAATTTAGGACTTTATTTGATCTTCATTGCGTTGATCGGTGAAAAAGATATATATATATTTTTTACTGTCCTCTGAATTCCTTTCTTCCAAAGTTGTTATCTTAGATCCTATTGGGACAAAGTAGGATTTCATTGTTAGTCTGCCTGTTTACAGATTACAGTTTTGTCGATAGATCATTGCAATGGTTGATAGCAATTCATCATCTGGGCCCCCCAGCAAAAACTCGAAGCCTAATCCTGATGCAAATTCAGCTCCCGAGAACGAAAACTCGATTGAAACCCTAGCCCGAAAGGTTCAGGAATCGCTTTCTTTGGGGAAGAGACATAAGTTCTGGGAAACTCAACCTGTTGGGCAATTTAAAGATCTTGGAGATACAAGCTTACCTGAAGGTCCTATTGAACCTCCAACGCCCTTATCTGAAGTCAAGCAAGAACCTTACAACCTTCCAGGTCCCTATGAATGGACCACTTGCGACATCGACAATGACGAGACCTGTACTGAGGTATACAATCTTCTTACCAACAATTATGTTGAAGATGATGAGAACATGTTCAGATTCAATTACTCCAAGGAGTTCCTGCGCTGGGCTCTTCGCCCTCCTGGCTACTACAAAAGCTGGCACATTGGTGTTCGTGTCAAGGTCTCAAAGAAGCTTGTAGCCTTCATTACTGGTGTTCCTGCAAAGATCAGGGCCCGTGATGATGTTGTTAACATGGCTGAAATTAATTTTTTGTGTGTTCATAAGAAGCTTAGATCAAAGAGGCTCGCACCCGTCATGATTAAGGAGGTTACCAGGAGGGTTCATTTGGAGAATATTTGGCAGGCAGCTTATACAGCCGGGGTAGTTCTTCCTACACCAATATCGACCTGCCAATATTGGCACAGGTCATTAAATCCTAAGAAACTTATTGATGTTGGTTTCTCTAGGCTTGGTGCAAGGATGACAATAAGTCGAACTATAAAGCTTTACAAGTTACCAGATTCAACAGTTACTCCTGGTTTCAGAAAAATGGAGCTGCGTGATGTCCCTGCAGTTACCCGTCTGCTTAGGAACTACTTGAAGCATTTTGTTGTTGCACCAGATTTTGATGAGAATGATGTTGAACATTGGCTTCTACCAAATGAGAATGTTGTGGACAGCTATGTGGTTGAGAGCCCCGAGACCCACGAGATTACTGACTTCTGCAGTTTCTACACCCTTCCATCATCCATCCTTGGTAACCAGAACTATTCAACTTTGAAGGCTGCTTATTCATATTACAATGTTGCTACACAGACGCCATTACTTCAGTTGATGAATGATGCACTTATTGTGGCAAAGCAGAAGGATTATGATGTCTTCAATGCATTAGATGTCATGCAGAATGAATCTTTTCTGAAGGAATTGAAATTTGGACCTGGTGATGGCCAACTTCACTATTATCTTTACAACTATCGGATAAGACACAGCCTGAAACCATCGGAACTTGGGCTTGTACTCTTGTAGTTCAGCTCCATTGAACCTTAGTTCATTTATTGCATGGACTAGTGGAAGTATTTCTGGCTGTTTTTGTTGAACCATTGTGGATCGCATTCATAGCCTTGCTTCTTTTTCTCCATGATTTAGGAAAAAGATGTTACTGAGCATGTGAGACAACAGGGTTTTGTGACTTTTTATAGCCTGTGCGCAGGTGAGTTTGGAATGTTGAGCAAATGTGTAGCTACAACTGAAATAAGATTGAAATATGAAAAACTTTTTCCTTTTTCTTTTTTTTTGCTTTTTCTCATTCACTTTTCATTGGGGTGCTTGGTCTCTTACTTCATTCTGCAGTCTATACATGCATGCTTCCCAGAGGTGGAATTGTATGTTTGGAGGCCTTTTGTGTCTTTTATGGTAGTAGTTGATTCTTGCATAATATTTAGGCTAGCATTTCTAGCTTAGCTTAATTTTGATAATGCCTTAAAGTGGGTTTGTTTCTATTAGTATGTTGCCTTTGTTTCAATTTGTATTTTGCTTCTGTCTTCCTGATCATCTAAACAATTGATGAGAAAGTCATTCTTGTTAGTCATAAACAATTTATTATCCCCCCCCCCTTCCAATATTCTATTTAATTACTTGACTAAAGCCGAATTACCATCATTTATATATTGTCGTACTTCATAAACAGTGGCAAGATCTTGAGAGACAATACTTTCTAATCAATATTGAGTAATTAAGTTTTATTAGCCCACTAGCTTTAGTTTAGTATTGAGCAAATCTCTTTTTCCCTATTGGAGGTTTCTAAACACTCGCAACATGTTATGCGGATTGCCATGTTAACCATTCTCAACTTGAATTTGCTCTTCTTTTTGGATGCAAGTAACGCCATCGGTGATAATTGCCATGTTAGTCAGGCATTTGAGCATTATTGAAACTTTGCAGGGCTGTGTCATCAATGTATAGCTCGTACAGATTGGAATCCGAGGTTAAAATCCATTTTCGAGTTTCATTTTAATGATGTTATTATCATTTGATCATTGACCACATCGAGGGGGTTCAATGCTTCATTATGCCTTCATTGTTATATGGTTACCACACTGCACTGCCTTATTTGGTGGGGCATTAATTCTGTCATTATATCCAATGAGAGGCCTTGGTATTCCATCTTAACGTCCATGTCTGGAGGTGGAGGTGACTGGTATCTTCAATTACTTTGCCATTGGTTTCAGCAGTAATTTGGCAGTTAAGTTGTATTTTAGGTTAGTGAATGTCATTTTAGTAGTTAATGTGAAGACGACGTTTTGCATTTGGCATCCTAAATTCCTGATTTTRGCATCCTAAAATCCTAATCAGGGGATATTTTCCAAGGATTCGAATTAGATCCAAGCATCTGCATCTAATTATTATGTCAGATTTTGGATCGAATTCAAATTTAATCTATAATTATTTTATTGTGTTTAAAATGATCAAAAAATTTAAATGTTTTTAAAAACCTTTTATATGTATAATAAATTTAATGTATTTATATAATTATATATATAAAATAATAATTTTTTATTGAACTCAGATTTTAATCAAATTGAATGGGGTTTCACATCCAATCCTATTATTAATCGAATGCAGGTTCTAACATCCAAATATGAGATTGCCAATTTTTATGGAAATATCAAATTAGATCCATATTTCCTAAAGCTAAATATGGATAGAGTATAAATATAAATATGTATAATGCAAATACATACAAAATATACGGTTTTGCACTCTACATTTTGTATTTGCAGTTTTGCACTCTTTCAAAACTAAGCCTAATGCTCAGTTTGGAAGGAGTACAAATACAAATATATAGTGCAAAAGCAAACTGAGCCTAATACAAATATGTAGAGTGCAAATCTTGTAATTTGTATTATTTTGCATATATTTATACTGTACATATTTGTATTTGTACTTTTTCCCAACTGACCCTAAAGGTTCAATTTGGAAAGAGTGCAAATTTAAATATCAGATGGGCTTAGTTTGGAAGAAGTACAAATATAATATATAGAATACAAAACCTTATATTTTGTATTATTTTATATATATATTTACACTACATATTTATATTTATAGTCCTTCCAAACTGAGCCATAAAAAAGAATGCAAATACAAACATATACAGTGCAAAACCTTGTTTTCTTATTTACATTATACATATTCACCTTCTCATACCGAGTCTAATGGATTAATGAATCGCATATAGAGATAGAGTCGACGAACTGTGGACTGGAGATATTGACAAAGCACGTTTTGTTAATGCCCGACTCTTCTGGTAGATTAACAAGAATATATTCGTTGACGATAAACTGCTTCTTTATTTGTTCTCTTCCATCAATTTATGTACGTTTCAAAGTCACTGATAAAACATAAAGAACAAAAACAATTGATAAATAAATAAAAAGCCTATAAAGCTTAAGGAGTTTGAGTAAAATACGCTAGGGGAAAGGAACTCGTATGAATCCCACAAATGCATCAAACACACCAATACTCGATATCTTATGTGAAGTGTGAATTAGGCCATGTTTGGGAGTGCTTAAAAATAAGTACTAATTCAAAATAAGTGCTTATTTGGACTTATTTTAAAAATAAGTACTAATTCGAATTAAACACTTATTGGTATTTGGGAAATAAACCTGAAATAGATGCTTATTTTAAAAATAAGGGCTTATTTTTTAAGCCCAAATTTTCAGATTTTTTTAAGTGCTTATACAATAAGCACTTTTTTTTCTTTCAAAATTATCCCTAATTGAATTTTAAAATACCACTTTTAAAATTATGCCTGGTTGAATTTTATAAAAGTACTTCCACAAAAGTGTTTTTATAAAAATAATTTAATAAAAGTACTTTCATAGGGGTATATTTTGAGAATTTGAAAGAAGATGAAAAACAAAATAGTCACAAACACTTCTTTAAGTGCTTACCGGAGAAAAAGACTACCAAACGTGCCAAATGCAAATAAGTGTTTATTCGAATAAGCACTTATTTTTAATTTAAGCACTCCCAAACATGACCTCACTGCGATAAGCTTCAGAAATGTTCAAAGATGCTACAAGAATAAAAACGTTCATATTTCACTAAACCTCTTTAAACTTAAAAAATACTAATGTTAATGATTAATTAATTATTTGTTTATATAGTTTTCTATTTTGTTTTAATTTTTCAGTTCATATAGAATGAGTATTAGTCCAAATCCACTGATGCTTTCTGAATCCCAGTGAAGGAGGGATTCGATTCCAAGCCCCCGGCTGCAAGCTGCAAGCTGCAAGCAGGTAGAGACTTTACTAGGTTTCCTTCTCTTTAGTTTCAACTCTTGTTAACAACAGCTGAGGTGTGATAGCAGTACCATTCTTGATGCTTTTATGGTAATAATACTACAATTCCAAGTAGAAATCTTTCAAATATTTCAAAATTTAAATCTACCAAAGAGATCAAGGGTAAATTCATAAACAGAACACCGCCTAAGCATTTTGGCTTGGGATATTGAGATAGTAGGTTTTATGATGATCTCGAACTTATCACTTTTCTACTGAGGAGAAAGAGGTTGTGTTGTTGTCATTGTTGACTCTGAAGGATGGAACAGCCACATTAGTGAAGCCTTCACTAACATGTCCATCATGGAAAACACACAAGGAGAAAGAGAAAAGTATTTTCTGATTCAACTCAACTTAATTGAATTTTGAGGGCAAGCAGTTTAACAACTCATCTTCTGTAAATAAACTAGTTGGTCAATTCATCTAGGAAAAAAATCAGCCTGCACTCAATGTGCCATCAATTTTCATATCTTAACTACTTTATAAATTTGAGAATTTGCTCCTGCAATAAATTTCCAATATCATAATTATAATTACTATTTCTTGACTAAGTTGACTAACAAGCCATCAGTAGATTTGACTAAATCGACCTTGGAATCAAGTTGAGTTCTTGGGCTCTAAACATGGTTTATGCTAATGGGTTTCTAGGGCTTTGACATATAACTTTTTGTCCTTTTGACAGCTTGTGGAATGCAACAAAGCTTCATGTTTGAACACAACACACCCCATAAAAAAAAAAAAAAAAAAAAAAAAGTAACACAAAAATCATCTGCAAAAGATAACTATGAAGAATAAGTACAAGAGATACTACTTTAATCATGCCTTAAACCAATGCTTATGCCATGAGCACAATCTCACCCCGTGAACCTGTATCAAGAAGAAAATGATGGATCATCATCCAAGGAAAAAATGGAAGAAATTATGGAAAACAGCAGAAATGAAGTGCCAGCAATACATTGTTCATATATCTCTTTTGCTAGCTGTAGCAATGAATCAGTCTCCTCGGCCATCTTTGAAACCCTCTCGGCCTCCTTAACTGCTTCAGCTGCCACAAATGACTTGTTTTCAGCATCAGCAATCTTGTAGGCAGCAGCAAGTGCAGCTTCCTCTATGGTGTCAGCAGATGTGATGAATCCAGGATTTTGCAATTGCCTTGGTCGGTTGTCTTTTTGTTTTAGAGTTGGTGTCCTTGTTCCGAATGAAGTATCCTTTTTTATCTTGTAGCAGTTCTGAACCTACATTTCAATTAAACTTTAGAAAATAAGATAAAGAAACAGTTAACACAGATATTGTCAACATCCCTTTCCACTACTCTGTAAAGCATTCTACCGACAACCTTGCTTTTCTTCATAACTCCCTACTTGTGGTTGCATTTACTTTCAGCCTCCAAAAGGGGAAAAATGTTGGGCTTCCACTAAGGAATGGAGCAACCTGAGTGGTAAAGGTGGGTGGACTAGTGGTTTGACACTTTGAATATGTGAGATGGGAATTATTGCTTAAATGTTGATCAAACAGTACACTTTGTGTCATCTGCACCCTAGTAAATGAATCCTCAAATCACATATTCCTGCACTGTGATTATTCTAGAGTGATATGGGAATTGGTCTTGGCAACTTTTGGATGGAAAGGATACTTTCCAGATTTGATGTTGAAGCTGTTACAGGAATTGCAATTAGCAGGAATCAGTGGGAAAGGGGAAGTGGTTTGGAGCATCACTCCATTGGTTGTCTTATAGTAGATATTTATCAAGACATCTTGTACTTGTAAGGAAATGTATGCCCATTACCTATCTTGTATGCTCATTATATAGCTCCTTCGTGTACAAGGGTCTTGACCATTTAATGGACTAATATATATACTGTGGAGGAAGTATAGCATTATGATTCCAGATTTCCAGAAACTATGCCATACTGGGCTGGGTTTATGTAAATTAGACTGCAGAATTGTAATTATGTTCAGTTTGAGGAGTTTTATATAAATTAGTGGGATCTCAGGTTGAGACCCACGATTGGAATGCTCTTTCTCTTCATTCTCTTCCTCTGTTCTTCTTCCCTCTCTACATTACTGCAACTTCTTCCTGACTTCTGCACTTGTTATTTGATTTTTTTTCCTTTGAAATATATGTTGTGTCTTTGTCCTTTAGTAATAGGTATTTAAGGAGGTTTGAGCTCCTTAGTTGCTGAAGCTGAAGTTTGATAGATTACTACACCCTTCAATGTTCTACTATTTGATTTTATTCACTAAAAGACAAAGCAATAAGTCAACCTTTAGTATTTGAGACATCTATAAATGCTCAACCTTTCAATAATAACAAGACTTACATGTGAAACTAAACCAGAAAAGTACATCCAGAGCCCAGACAATTTCCTACAGATTCCTGATGGAATATCTAAGCATCTAAACAAGACCTAGAGCTACCAGGCAGATGTGCAAGGATCATTAATTTTGTAGAACTTGCTACTAACACCAAAAAATGCAAGGTCTGCAGTGTAGCTAAAGTATTTAGTTACCAGAGAGAATTGAGCATTCAATGAACTTTAAATCAGTTTTACATGGACTCTCCTAAATGGATGATGTGTTCATGTCAGACATGCAACAAGGTCCAACACTCCATAGATTCTTGAGGATACTTCTATTTAACATTCCTTTGATCTCTTGGCTTATTTGACATAAATGAACGGGTAACGTACAAGATGAATATGCCATTTTCCATATCAAACATTACATAGTAAGAAAGGCAACATTGTTTGCAGGTATATAATGATAGGATTCAAAAAGTGTAAACTATTTTAATGGTATATATTTTTCCGTATAAATGTCCACGTTTCTCATCTTTCCAAGTCAGTCTCTTGGACACGCATCAGGTTTCATCTCCTGTGTCAGTGTTCATGGAACAAGACACAACGAAGAACAAGTCACACATGTAATCGCAAGGTGGAGTGCATAGTAAGAGGAAATCACATCATGGTCTGAAAGTAAATAAAATGTTGCAGTGAGAGACAGAGAAAACCATCACCTTTTCAAGCTTCTCCTGTGCAACAAGCCTTCTCAACTTTGAACTTAACAACCTTCTAAAATTTTGAGGCACCTCATGCTTTTGCTGCATAAATATTAACAAAGCATGAAATATACAAATCATCTTTTCAACCTCACAAATGATGAGTAATTAAATAACAACATTTAGTTCAGTGATTGATTATAAATCTGCATAAGAGGCTAATGATAAATGGAACCATGATGCCCTAGTGTTCCATCCAAAGTGTGCTCCTAATCCTGGAAAACATAATGCATGGAAAGTGGTTGCTGGTTGCTGATTTGAACCACCTCTACATTAATGTACAAAAGCTGGATTGGTAGCATCCGTGAATTTTCACTGATTAAAGAAACTTTTTCCTTATTTTGGTGAATACCAGAAATAAAATGGTATCAAGTAAAAGAGCATGAACTTTTTAATGCAGTAATTTTAACCATCAGAGGAGTGGAATTCATCTAGGGACGTTTGCTTCTTAGAATGGTGAAATCTCGGGCTGACAAACATGGGAATGTAGTTTGAGTCTGAGAGCAGTTACTCCATGTAAAAATGCCAAGGTTAGTTCTATATTCAATCCAGGATCAGCACTGGGTAATGAATGACCTTTAGGATCGGAGTACTGGACTTCATTGAGGATGATGGCTGCATTCATGAAATTGCAGTTGTGGGCCTTGTCACATGTAAATATAGCATTTGTTCAGAATCAAACACAAAAAGATGGTGTGCCTCTTGGACTAGAACATGCTTGAAGTCCACATCTCTTGAGAAAACATAAGCATCTAAAGAGCGAATTTCTCAAACAATAATTTTGGATCTCCCTCCAAAAATCTTTTTTTCTGTCACTAACTTTGTCATTAGGATTGTCTCAAAAGACACTAAACAATGGACAATTCAAGGGGCACCATAACATGCAAGCAACCCAGATAACTAGCAAAAGATCGAGCCACAGCATCTAAGTCAATGTTCTAAAAATCAAAACATCAAATGATATGATGTAGATATTTCAACATGTACCTATTTAAAAAGGTTGGATACATCTCCCTTTGACAAACCAAAGTATAGCTGTTATGGAGTTTCAAATAGGGCTACGAGAGCTTCTCCTTGGAAATCAATTCATGCCATACTTCCTTCTTTTCTTCCTCTAATCAGGTATCATATGTGCTCCGGTAACCGCGTGAAATTTTGGGATCATGTTTGGGTGGGAAGCACTCCGCTAAAAGAGCTTTTCCCTTCCTTGTATTCTTTATCACGGTTTAAAAATAAGCCAGTCTCCACTGTTTTGACCGCCTCTAGTTCAACCATTGATTGGAATTTGGGTTTTAGAAGGGCCCTTAGAGAACCGGAACTGAACCTCATTGCTGACCTGCTAAATATCCTTGAGGGGGTGGTTATTGACCCCCTTAGGAGGGATAGTAAGATTTGGGCTCCTTCTTCTTCGGGTATCTTCTCTTGCTCCTCTTTCTTCAAAAAACTGGCTCATTCCCCTCCTGTCTTTGGAATCCCTTTTCCAGTTTTGGAAGTCTGGGGTAGATCAATTCCTCCCAGAATTAGTGTTTTTTGTTGGTGTTTATCCCCACACTGGTGCATCCTTTGTAAGAAGAATGGTGAGACTTGCTATCACTTATTGGTTTCTTGCGCATTTGTTTCAGAAATCTGGTGTTGGTTTTTCTTTCTTTTTGGTGGCAGGTGGACCCCTCCCCCAAATGTACAAAGCCTATTTCATTCTACTACTATTAGGAGGCTGAAGAAGAGAGGGAAATTTCTGTGGAGGTGTGTAAGAGCAGCTGTATGTTGGACAGTCTGGGAGGAAAGGAATCAACGGACCTTTCATGGGAAAGAAAGAAATAAGGGTGTACTCATTAAACTGATTTCTATAAGGGTGATCCATTGGGTTAAAACTTTGCAAAGTATTGAAAATTACTCAGAAGGAGACATCATCAGGAAGTGGAAAGAAGTGGCTTGGTCAGCTCCAAGAAAGAATGTATCCCAACCAATTTGGTCCCCTCCAGTTTCAGGTTCCACTAAACTAAACTTTGATGGTAGTAGTGAAGGAAATCCAGGTCTGTCAGGTATAGGGGGAGCCTTTAGGGATGATGAAGGTCGAATTATTGCATTGTATTTTGGTTCTATTGGATGGGGGGACTCTCTTAGAGCTGAAATATTGGCTGTCTTGGAAGGGTTAAATAGAGCTTAAGAGTTAAATATCAGAAAATTGATAGTGGAAGGTGACTATAGCCAACTTATAGTCTGTGGAAGTTTTTGAATGAAAAAAAGAAAGTTAGACATCTCACCCAAAATTTGGAAGTCAAGTTTCTATGGATAAAGAGGTGTGCCAACTCCTTGGCAGATTCATTGGCCAAACAAGGGGTGGGAAGAGTTAATTTCTTTTGGGCAACATTGTAATTTGAATTGCTTTTCCTGGGAGGGTTAAGAATTTTTACCCCTCCTTTTGTACCTTTTCTATTATTATCTTTTAATAAAAGTCTGTTATTTATCAAAAAAAAATGGTCAAATAGTGATTGTTTAAATAGGGAAAACATCTCTGTTAATTAACTTCAGTGGTTACAAAAACAAGAGCTCTCTTTGCTCAGGGGATGTACTAGTTTATCAAAAATAGGGTGTGTCCAAATCAGCACTCTATGAAATTCATTTCTTTTTTAGAATGATAGCCTGGGTCAACATAATGCTAAAGAGTTCTGCCTTACCTCAATAAAGCCAATAATAGCACTAATATCTGCTCCATTGGGATCCTTGATGGCTGAAAGTGCTTCAAAAATCATTGCATTGTACCTTGTGACCAAAGAAATAACATCAAGCATCTCATGAAAATGTGCTCATACACATACAATAGCAAACATAAAACACCCAAAAGAGGGGCAGAAAACTGTATTAAACAAAATAGTCATTTGGGTTGTGTTTGGTAAGAATGCAAACACTGAACTGGAGTGAATTTGCAATCCAGTTCAGTTATGCAGGCATTTGGTAGGAGTTCGTTTTTGTACTGAAAATGGCAGTAAATTTGTTCTTATTCACATGTTTGCATTCAAAATCAGAGCAAAATTAGCTTCCTAAAAATGGAAGCTAACTGCACTATAAGTTGGTCAATATAAAAAAGATAGATTCCAGTTTTGGAGTTCATATTTGTACTTCCAATCTTGGAGTTCGTATTTGTACCCATCACAACCAAACTCSTTTGGTAAGAATACAAAATTTATTAATGCAAAACCAAACCAAATTTGCATTTTCATGAACACTACATATTTGCATTTGCACTCTTACCAAATGCAGCCTTGGTATTTGACATCCTGTAAAGCTAAAGGGGCACACAAAATAACAAGGCAGAGAAAAAAAAACTAGTTAATTGACCTATTGGTAATTGTACAACAACAGTAGTCGGAAGAAGAAAAGCACAGTATAATATGGTATAGTGAGCCCTTTGTATGTCCTGTGATGACAAATGTTAGAAGTAAACCAAGGTGAGCAATTATGCATTTCACACTCCCCTCAATGTAAACAATCAACTATCATCCTACTTAAATTATCCTAATGTGTTATGAAGTATTGATATGTAATTATGTATCAAGGAAGCAAAATATGCCCAAGATTTCACACCCTAGATTTCATAAGTAGCATGATCAAATTGCATTGTTAGGATAAAACAAGATGGTACAAGTTTAAGATAATTCTGGATCTTTTTCTATAATTGTCTTTAATTATGTAGATTGCTTTTTGACAATTATATCCCTCTCCTGGTCAATGAGACTCCAATAAAGTACTGGGTTGGGGTAGTGAAACTCCGGCCATATCGCTACTTTTCTTCTTTCTCTTTCACATTTATTTCATCTTCATAAAGATATCATTAAAGCCTCTTCTGGCTTAGAAATCGTGCAGTATCCTAATCCTGTATTGTAGTTTAAATCAAGAATGCAGCATTATTTTCTATGAAAATAAGCCCATTGCTCATTTAGTTTCTTGGAGCCCTATTGGAATTTTATGGAATTTTGGTCTAAGAAGGGGTTTTAGGGATGATGACTTTGGTCCTTTTGAATAGCGTTGGACAGGATAAAATAATTTTATATGTTGAATTCCATGGCCTCCATTTCTGTTCTTTTTCTCATGTTCTCTGCCAATCTACCCTTCGATTTTTTTTCTCCACTAACTTTTCCTGTTGAAGCAATTTGGCGATTGCCCACTCCTAAAACTAGAGTGTTTTGTCGGGAGGTAATACAAAAGAGAAGCAATATCTAGATATGATTCGGCAATGGTGTCTTTGGTCCTTATCCCCGTATGTGCTTTCACAGGGGTAGCAATGAGACCAGCCATTCTCCCCATGCTAATCTCATCTCCCTTGGACTATATGGGAGGAAAGAAACCTAAGAATTTTCTCTGAAAAAAGTAAACCAAAGGAAGAAGTGATTGAAGCCATAAAAATCAGAACTGCACATTGGGTGAAGACCATGGAGCTATTCAAAAATTTCTCCACGAATGAGATTTTAAGAAGTTGGGCTGAAGTAGAACTAACAGATGCACCCAAAGTAATTGTGAGTGAGGAATGGAAGCCACCGGCACTGAACAAACTAAAACTAAATTTTGATGAGAGTTCTTTTGGTAACCCAGGAAGGGCAGGCATAGGGGGTGTGATTAGAAATCATCAGGGTGTGGTGGTGGCACTCTTCTCAGGACCAATAGGTATTGGTGACTCAATACAGGCTGAATCTCTAGCCCTACTTCAAGGTCTAAAGATGGCTGAGCAGATAGGAATAACAGACTTAGAAATAGAAGGAGACTCACTACTGGTCATTTCTTGGGTTAAAAACATCACTTCAGTACCTTGGAAGCTCAAATTTATCTTCAGAGAAATTGACATACTTACAAGGAGGATCAACTCTCAGTTTGGTTGGGTCAAACGGAGCGCAAATGGGATGGAGGATACCCTAGAAAAACAAGGGCAAATAGATCTACATTGTACTGGGCAGAACAGTAACTGATTGTTTGTGGGTGAAGATTACATTAATGCTTTTCTGCTACCTATAACTTTTGTAACTGATTGTAACTTTTGCTACTTTATTAATACAAATTTTCTTGCTGATAAAAAAAAAAAAAGGATATGGGCTTTTGCTCCTTTCCTCCAAGAGGGAAGATCATTTAGAGATATGCAAGGGTGTCGCTTCATGCACAATATCAGAAGAAAGGAATAATAGAATATTTTTGGACAGCTAAAGTTTGGCAGAAGCATTGATTGACCTCATTGCCTTAGAGTGACTCAAGATGAAGATCAAGGACAAGTTTAGACACATCCATCACATGATGTGTAGAGAGAAACCAGGGTGCTATAGCTTTGTAATTAGTGACTATAGCAATTTGATCCATGGAATGGAATTCCCCACTTCAAGGAATGATCAACTGATCAAGCTCAACTTTGGCTGTTACTCCTTATGGAATCCCTGGCCCTTAAAGTATTGGTGGTGTAGTTATTGACTTAAGAGTTGTGTTGCAGTGTTATCCAGGCCTTATACATTATGGGGAATCCCTGGCCCTTCAAGTATTGGTGGCGTAGTTATTGACTCAGTTCTCTAGCCATTTTTAGCCTTCCTCAAATCATGTCTGTGTTGCCATGTGCCTTGTGTCTCCTTTAACGAGTCTATTGCCTTCCAGGAATCTCCTTCAACCATAATGCCAACCAGACTCATCCTTGTATAAATCTGTAGGCCTTGAAGTAAGGCTTTCAATTCTGCTGCTGTAGAATCTGCAACTCCTATTGGTCCCAAGAATATAACAATGAAATCCCCATTTATCATTTATATTTCTTATACCCCCCCCCTCCTACAGGTCCTGGACTTCCAATGCCACAACCATCAAAAATCAGCTTCCAATGGTATATGGCTGGTGGAGATCATTCCCTTAAAATGAGTGATTTATTGAAGAATCTGCCACCTGCTGCCAGCCGGCCCAGCCCTTTAGAAAATCATCGTTGAAAAACAGCTCAAAGATTTTCAGTGCTTTTACCCAATTTACTACCCTCCACTTGATGGTTTCTACGATTTCCTCACGTCTTCTCTTATCATTAAAAATCCAGCTATTCCTCTCCTTCCAAATGGACCATGTAGTGGTAGCCTAGAATAACATATATAATGTCACATGACAAATAATATGTTATCCTAGAAGTTAAAGATTTTCCTCCCTATATCACAAGAGGAAAAAAATTGGGGTTTTTCCAAATTCCACCTTCATGATACTCATGGCAATGTTACAAGGATCCTTCAAAATTTAAAGGTCTAGCCATGCTAACACTCATTGCCATGCCAACACTTGGTACTTGGCATGGCAATTCTTTAGCATATCAATGATGCTATAAGCTTTAGTCAGCAAAATAAATAAGTAAACAAATAAAAAATAATATTTTTTTGATAAGAAATAAAAATTATTAATAGGAATGAAAAGTACATCCATGAGGTGATTAGGAATCACCATACAGAACATAAAACAAAATATACAAAGAAGTCAGCTCCAAAATTTACAATCAAAATTTTCATCAAACTCTGGTAAAATCAAGACCCAATCATTAAATCTCTTTCCACTTGAGAAAACAATTTGACCCCTGTGCTTTCATAGGCCTTCAAAGATTCTTATATTTCTCTCTTCAAAATTTCCCAGCAAATAGCAAAAGGATATAGCTCCAAACTATTTTTTCCTTCCTATTTCCCCTCAATGTAGGCCAGCAACCAAAGATATCTTTCGGGGTTCTTGGGTTCAATATATCAAGAGTAGAGAGACTGAAGTAGTATCCTCATAAATACTTCAGGAAACATTAGCCAAAAAATAGGTGCATCACACTCTCCTCTTTAGCTAAGCAAATATAGCATCTTCCTACCAATTGAGCCCCTCTATTTGTAAAATGATCTTGGGCTAGAGTGCTGCCCAAAGCCACTATCCAAGCAAAAGCCTCCACCCTTGGGGGAGGGGGGAGGGGATTGGTGTCCCCCATATCCCCTCGACATCCGACTTCTCCACCTGATCTCTTGCTAAGACTTTATAAAGAGATTTTATAGAAAAACACCATTAGTACTTTCCTTCCACCTTCTCACATCTCTTTTTGCTTGGATTTCCACCAACTATAATTTTGCCAAAAGCTCCGCGCTCTCCTCAACCTCCCAATCAAGGAGAGGCCTTCTAAAATTTGGGCTTCACATTTCTCTTCCTTGGTTCAGCTCATAGCAATCAGCAATAGAGACATTCCCTTGACTCAGCCTGTAAAGTCTTGGACATAACTCGAAAAACCTGCCAAGACCCAACCAATCCTCCTCCCAAAATCCTGTTGTTTTTTGAAAAATAACAAAGAAATGAAGTAAACAAGGAAGGTGATAAGATATCACCTGAGAGAAGAAAACTAAGACATTTCAAACACAACTTTACTCATCTGATCCCTACAACAACCTGAAAAGATTAACAGAAACACCAACTACATAACCCACTTAAGATCTACAGAAGATTGGAAGGATCATGAGACCCACCCCTTACACAATCCTCCCCTTCAAACACTCCATCCTGCCCATCACCACCCTCATTCCAGCTCTCTCTGCCTTCCCCTATTATGACCGTCTTCATCCTTTCCTCCACTTTTCAAACTCCTCAAAAGCTTTTCTAGCAAACGCCTCCCCCCCACCCCCCCCAAAAAAAAACAGCCCAAGCCCCTTACCAACCTCTACAGCTCTGTTAATTATTTCCTCAAGTAGCAAACTTCCTTGCCTCTTCATCTTTCCTTCTAGACAAGCATCCTGAACTTCCATCAA